AAAAATACGGGAAAAATAAAAAATTTGGGAATTTTGTCTCATTTATATGCAATTATTCTCGAGATAAGCTAAAGAGATGAAACCTTTTATCATATTTTACATACATTTTCTCTTATACGTTACCTTTTTTTTTAGAAACAATAAAATATTAGAACGATAAAAGCTGATGCGTTACAGCTTTAGGAAGAGGAGCGGAAATCTCGATAGAGAAGAATCAGGTAAGTGGAAATCTGTGGGGAAAAAGTTCGGTAGAGTGGAAAAGGATTTACTTTTCACGTGAGGCATCGATTTAAAATTGGACGTGAAACGTAGTTACCGATATTGCCTCTCGACCGGCTGAGAGATTGCGGTAGCGAGGGAGAGAATGAGAGGAGGAGAGGAAAAAAGATATCGCTGCCGGAGTTCCTCCTCATCTCGACGTCCGATACGTGCGATGTAATAAAATTATGATCGGCTAGCCCTTCCATCCATTCGTCTCAATCATTTCCTCGCGAAGATTGACGAGCGCGCGGTATTCCTGCCACTTCCGATTCTCTCCTCTTCATTCGGCGCTCGTTTCTACTGTATCTTTTTTTTCCACCGGTGGAACCTTTTATTGCCGCGTGATTGATTTTAAGGTCCCATTATAATCGATGTAATACCTACGCGAGTATTCTGAAATTAATTTCGATTCCGTTCGCGGATCTCCTCGCCTCGCAATAAAGATACCGCAGAAACGTGTAATAAAACGCGATTGACGTAATTGCGATCGTTAATCAAGGTGCACTTTAATTACAGGACTATGCTTGATCTCTGCAGTCTCACCTGAAACCTGCGTTACAAATGTCCTGCGACTTCAACCGAGCTCTTTATGCTTTTGATTGTTGCTCAGAAAGCCTTGTTGATAATATTGGCTTTCGGGCAATAATCATAATCACGGAAGAGCTGATTATCATCGTTACCTGCTGATCGTATTATTCAATTGTAGAGAATTTGTAATTTTATTGAAAAAAAATTTCACAAATTTGTCTAATTTTTGTTTGCGTTTGTATAATAAATTTAAGACTTTTATAATATGTCTAATAATATACTATATTTTTTTTATGAATGCAAGCGCTGCGAACTATAGTGTTTAAACATAAAATATTTTATATATAATTGTCGATACTTTACAACTTTGTTAACATATTTTTTATACATATATAGAAATAAGGTATATTGCGATTATCTCTTGTGACAATTGTGTGTGAGAATATTTTTGTAACATGTCGCATTTATGAAAATAACGATATTATGCAGGAGGATACTTATTGCAGCGTATTAGTAGCGTCTCTTTTCCTTTAAACTCAGTCATGTGTATCAATCTCGTCGTATCAAGAATCGCAGCGTGGGAACTTCACAGTGAGCGTTATATCGCGAGGAAGTACACCATCCCAGATGGTTACGATCCCTTTAATTACAATTATTATGGCGCATTATAAAATACGACGTATGACTAATATTTCCGTAAAGACATTAAAAATAATTGCAATTGGCGTTTATAGTCATCGAGTGAAACGGGTAATAAGCTAAGTGATGGAAAACAGATTGCTGTTGATAATAAATGGGATCAGTATGACAGGTAATGATACGCCTATTAATTAAAGCGGAGGTTTTCTTACTCATGACATAAAATGTTTTAATAAGCGCTTAATTGTTTAAACATTTATTTATCCTTTTATTTCTATATTTATATTGAAATACTAAGTCTACGGTAAATTAAAAAGAGTAAAAATTTATGTAATCAATTGAAAATATAAAGTAATAATTGTCGCGCACAATGCTTAACTTTGATAATATCGATAATTAATTTTATTGGAGGCTATTTATATAAATCTTGTATCTCATGAAAACTTTTAGGTATAATTATTAATTTAAATAGAGGAATACATGATTAACGTGCAAAAATAAATTATATATAATTATTTGCTTTACCGCTCAATTATTATTTCTGTCAAAAGAAAATTATAGTTTGAAATGTAATGTCTTATAAATGTTTGACAGTATCGTAAATAGAAATAGCATGACCTTTTGTGCAGAAAATGAAGTAACGAATTTGTAATAAAATACACATACATGGTATTTTAATTATAACTTTGATAGATGGAAAATGGGCAGTGAATGCTGGCTATGAAATTAGTTAAAATTTAATCCAAGGGTAGCCATGAAAGGGAATTGTTCCCGCAGATTTTAATGGGTTGAAAATTGCGTGACTCGTTTCAATATACCACATGTATCTAACCCCAAAAATTATAAATATTATTCTATACATCGTAAAATAAATTTATGTCGCTTTTTATTATGAAATGCAACATGAATGAAAACATTATAAAATGTATGCGATATATTATCTATTGTATTATCTCTATTTATTTATTAATAATTAAAAAATATTATTAAAATATAGTACTAAAATAAGTTGTAGACCAGTTATTAGTTTAGAACATTATTTTTGTGTTATATTTTTGCTATGTTGTGTTATATTGTATCCTATCATAAATGTATCAATCTTTTCGTATATTTTTTTGATATTAACATTTTTGTAAACTTTAAAAAAAATTTATAAATACTTTAATACATTGCCAAAATATGTAAATTAAGCTAGATATATGTATATGTATCATATCAAACTTGATTTCAAAGAATAAACATGAGAATTTACCTGGTGCCAGACTTTATTATGTTTATGTTTATATTTATACATGATACCAACAAATTTTCTATTTCACACATTTAAAAGTCCTTTAATAAATATCTTCTAAAATATCGAGCGTGCACAACACACGTTACTGAAATATCACTCTGCTACGCGCGCGAGATTTTATTTTTGTTTCAATCACAGTTTCCAATAAATTTAATATTGTCAAACAAAACAATAATATAACAGAATATAATCAAATGTATTTATGATTAAAATTGCATGTAATCATTGTAATTAATGGATACATTTTCATAAAATTGTTACAAATTGAGAAAATTCTTAAAATATTGGAAAATTTGTAATAGTGTAACTTTCTTGTAGATTATTTTTCTTAACACTAATCGATTTTCAAAATTTTTTAAGTTTTACTATTTGTTGAATTCTTGAAATCACAATTCTTAGAATTTGGGAAAATTAAAAAAATTGTAGATGTAGTTTTCTGTAACAAGTTTTAAATCTATCTGTCAAAAAATTGTATGTAATTATTGTTAATAAATAAAAAAATCTATGTGTATACGAGTATATGTATAATATATTATATATAGATGTGTGTGTGTATATGTATGCATGTATTACCAAAATAATGTGTAATATTTCATAATTTTTGAAAATATAATAAAATGTGCATTAATAATATAAAACACTTGTAAATATTCCTTCACACTTATTTCCATATTCAAGTCAATGAAAATTTTATGTATAATCGCTATTTCTAGAAATTAAAGTTTGTAGATATATAATTCAAATTACATACATATTAAATTATTAACGTAACGTGTGATTTATCAAACATTAATATCAAAAGAGAGAGAACACATTCAAGGTATAATACTACTACAAATCATTATGTCCAATTTATCTCGATGTCGGAGATCACGAAAAATTAATTCCGAAGGATGCATTAGCTCATGTCAGGTTGGTTGGCCGCAAAGTTTCTTTCGCTCGTTTCGTATTTTCTCCGTGAAAATTACACAATTCCTGATGCACGTCGATGTTGGTACCGACAGTGCTTTACCGAGAACTGCCAAAAAGTCGGCGAAACGAGGGTCGACAGCCAGGAACGCAGTCCGAGCATCGTTCGAGATGGGATAACCCGTAACCGACGGCGGGAGAAGGCGAACGACGGGTCCGGCAACAATGCATTATTTAAATTTTAAAAGCCCCTCAAAGTGTCGGCTTAATTCGCCAGTCTTTTACCCTATCTCTAGCTGTACGAATGAAAACGCGGGAAACCATCGAGTGAGAGACCTATACATGCATTGACAAGTACGTAAATGTGCATAATGCACTGGTAGACGTATATCTTGTTAAGATAGAGAGTAGGTTATATATCAATATGTATCTGAAGAGGCACTTATCTCTTATACAAATCTACAATATTATCGAAAAAAATTATAATACTACAAAAGATATTATTATGCAGTATGTGAGAAAGACGAAAGGTGAATAATTTTATTAGGTATATATAGTCGTATATTAAATAAAAATTTAAATTTTACTATAATAGTTTCTCTCTATTTTTGTAACTAGGATTCTGACAGTCAGATTAAATCATGCCTTCTTTTTCGAGTTATATTTTGCCTGAAATGTTTAAAGCAAATGTATAATTTAAATTCTTAGCTACAATTTTAAAAGATCTCCGATAATTCAAATAAAAACTAAAATCACCACTTTTGAATTTTTATTTTCGGTAAATTTTTTAAGAAGCATATTATATATAATGACAAAAACAAGTATAGCATAGTAAATAGTTATAGTACATATATATATTATATATAGTTATAGTAATAAATTAAATAGTATAATAAATAAATACAGTACGTTGGATTGCATATATACTATATAAATACTTAATTTATACATTAGTACTTGTAATAAGCAGCATAATAATGAAAGATCTTTGACACTAGATACGATTGTTATCTCTCAGATGATGTAGATAGAGCGCAAAAACGATACGCATATCGCAATTTCGCAGCCGTCAGGCACGTTCGCAAATGTGAAATCTGCATTCGTCGCTGTGAATCGATCTCATCTTTCTATATAATTGCCAATATAACCAGTGCGGTGGGAGGAGACACGTTCGTGTGTCAATATGTATGTGTGTACGTCGCGAATAATCGAGTATATACACGCGCGTCTCATAGCCGAATGCACACGCACACACACGAGAATGCGAGATTCGCGAATACATACGCGGATACATAGCAGGCTGGAAGCAGGTTGACAGATTGACGTTCGGTCGCGCCTCGTTCAACCCAGCGTCCGATGAATATTTCAGGTGCCCGGCTTCACCTGTCAGCTCGCGGATGCCATGCGGCGCGCGGAGAGAAAGAGCGAAAGAGAAAGACGAGCAGCGAAGCAGCAGCAGCAGCAGCAACAGCAGCACCAGCAACATCAGCAACATCAGCAGCAGCAGCAGCAGCAACATCGGCAACGATAGCAGCAAGAAGAGCAGCCTGGTTGCTTCTATGTATAGGGGGGTCGTGCCCTGGCGAACTTTCGACCCGAAATGACCCGAGAGAGTCGAAGAAAATGCAGACTCCGTCGCAGCCGATGGATTATCACCTTTTCTTGCTCTCTCCCTCTCTTTTTCTCTTGCGCTGCCATTTGCCATTGGCGATGATGAGTCTAATTTCAGGATACCGATCGATTGTCTATGAATATCAAGGAATTATGTATTTATTTCCACGTGTCCTAGTTCACGCGCCCACTGCCTCTTTAGGGGATGTTGAGGATGTAAGGGACGAAGGCGAAGAAATGCGCCCATTTCTTATTTATTTCGGTACTTGTTATTCCTGTTAAAATGTTTAGCGCTATTTGACCCGTTTACAATTATTGATTATTAATTATTAATTGTCGAACTTACGTAGGGTGTAATTAACTTGTAGGCTGTAGGTATACAATAATTCGATTTAACGTCGATTAAAAGTAGAAAATTATTGTTCGTATATTACGTACAAAATCATTAAATCACTAAAGTTTTAAAGTTTCAATATCGAAAATTTATCGAGTTTTTATTAAAATTCATATCGTTTCGAAAACGCTTTTAAAATAAGTGCCTCGTGTTATATTCAAGATCTACTATACTACGCCTTTTTGAATATTAATTTCTCATCGATTGAATAACGTTCTATTATTGAAATTTGCTGGAAGATTCGCACGTGGAATAATCTTAAGTTCATCGATTATTCTTACTTAAGGGCGCATAACTATTAGATATATTTATCCAAAGATGATGTACGTCGAGTTAATGCAAATTAACATGCAAGATAAATGACTCTCTGCGGATCACTCATACGACGTAACATGAGATGACTCGATTTTAAATCCGTTATGTTCATTTTACGGAATCGATTATCTTACTGATATTAAATTAGCGGGACTATACTTTGGGACTTAACGTAATTATTATGACATTACGTATTAAAAGTGTATAGAAATGACTTTGATAAAATCTTCGGTACTACGTCGTGCTGAAATAAAGCAAGTCTTATATACTCGTATATTGTTTGTATCGTTTGGATGTATACGGGACACACAAGGAAACGCGAGAGGAAAAATTGGAGAACTGAGAATTGGCGAGCTGATTTATAGCCGGCTACACGACGCCTCGCGTATCTCTCTTCGTGGTTTGTCTGTGCGTTTGACATTTGGTGCCTTACGATGACCGCGACTGAAATATGAGCCTTCACGTCGCGAACGTCCAACCGTCCGGTCCGGTCTCGCGAAGTGGAGGAACTGGATTTCAGTCATAGAGACGGTGCGCGCACAAAGTTGAAATTGGCACTTACGATGGACGCCCATTGCGCTTTCGCTGAATATTCATGTGCCACGGTAAAGGGTTATTGAACCGCTGCAAGCCTGAACCTTGAATGAGCTGAGCTACATAAAGAATATCGCGAACGGTTGTCGATCGAAAACAAGAAAATGTCTAACTATCCGCTTCTAAATTATATAGGATGCGCGTCGCTAACATTCTGATAAATTACTTTGTAAACGATCTATTGCATGCTAACTTATGTGCAACTATTATTAGAAATTGTTGCGTCAAATTTCAAATATTATCTCTCTTTCGACGATAAAAATAATACAAAGTTCTTAATTAAAATATTCCAACATTATTCATATAATAATATTAATCTGTTGATTGACAGAGTTATAATAGAAATGTATTAGAAATAATAAGCAGGGCTATAGCTTATTTCAAATAAATTTATTTAAATATATTTATTTAAATATATTTTAAATAAAGAAAAAATTAGACAGTTATTTAGTATTTATTATTTAAAATAACATCTTTTGATGTATTTCTTATTTAATATTGTAAATAAGTTTTCGGAACTTATTTTATATTTTTTATTTTAAATAAATTGTATCAGTTATGTTACCAATCCGTCGGTAAAAGTGACAGTGAGTAATTAAATTATAGTATATTTATGATAAAGTATAAGACGTGTGGAGTATGATATATGTACATATATTCACACATATGATCCATGTTGATTTTCCGTCTTCGCGAAGAGTTAATACTATTAAATATTAATTATAAGCTGTAGCTATAAAAAAAACTGAAACGTTATATTTAGAAACATATATTTGTATATTCAAATAAACAAAAAATCATTAAAATATTTTTTATCTACTATTTGAAACATTTATTTAAAATACATATTTCTTATTTTATATTTTAAGTA